ACAATGAATGCCCCAGTGGCCACCAAAAAAAATGGGCGCGACCGCACCACACGCTGGACTTGTATCCTCAGAAACCTCGGAGGGGGGGGGGATGTCACATCGGCTTTCCACATGAGGCCGAGGGTTAATAATTTGTTCAGAGAGAACCAGCTGACTGATGTGAAGCGAGTAACAATTTTCAATGCAATTTACTTTTTTGTTTATGGCAGCTGTTGCGTGACAACTTTTGGCGTTAGCAATATAAAGGCCTGTTTTACTGAGGGCTGGCTGGGGTAACCTGGCCCGACCTTAGCTAATTGCACTCGGTTGTTTTGGCCACCTAAGCGCCGTTCTGACTATTGAAGGCTTCGTTGCCGGAGTGATTTTGTCATCTTCAAAGCCCACTGGACACTTGGACACTGGACACTGGACACTTAGGGTCTTCTTCACTGCTCAGGGCTCTTTGGCCACTGGGAGGGCCCTTTCGCCGCCCAAGAGCCCTTCTGGCTGCTCGATGGTCTCCCTGACAGGTCGGAGGAACCCTGGGCTCTCGGGAGTTCAGTAAAAGTAAACGTAAAACTCAGTAAAAGTTCAGTAAATGCCCCAGGCTGCCTGCCAGCTTAGTGCCTCTCTTGCCGCTCAGGAGGCTTGCTCTTAACTGGCCTGTCTAGCTATTAGGGGGACATTTTGGCCTCCAAGCAATTCTCCAGTCACTGATATTTCTTTCTGGCTGCTCAGGGTCCGCACTGGAGCAGTCGTCAAAACTACATTGCCACGAATGAGGCTAGAGACTATGTGTGGTATGGTGTTAAGGGTGGGTGTCCATTTCCCTGGCCCGTAAAACGCAGAACCCATGGTTTTGTGGAGGTGTACGCAAAACTGCTTTTGTTGCGTGCAGTGTGAGAAAAAATGTACTTACTGAATGAGTACAGTCCATCCTCTGCCTACTCTCTAGAATCAATGTGGCCACCAAGTCACGGATGTGAGCCTCAGCTCACCACCGTGGGCACTCAAACTGCTTTGGGGACCCAAAAGCTACTTAGTAGCTTGCTACTTAGTCTGTCATTTGAAAATCCCTTCAGCACACAAAATAGCCTCCGAACTACCCAGGCCCTTTTGGACCGTCTTAGTTCTCCTCTGTGCCCATCCCTTCTGCAAGGGTGAGAATCAGGTAACGCCATTTAGCATGGAGTCTCAGAAGCTCCGTGCGATGAAAGCCCCGGTGGCAACATCCGTTCACGGGCCACGGTGCCCTCTCGACCTTCTGTGTATTGAGGGCAACTCTGGTCGCCCACGAGCCGTTTCAGCTGATCAGCGCCCTTCTGGCCGCTGAGAGGCCCTCTGGCTACTGATGAGCCTCTTGTGGGTGGGGCCCCTCTCTGACAGCTTAGGGGCTTAGCTGATCGCCCAGACCCCCTGGTACCAGAGGAACTTTTGATCACTTGTAGCTCTTCAAATCGAAGTGCCTTTTTGTCTGCCGACTATATATATATATATATATATATATATATATATATATATATATATATATATATATATATACATATATATATATATACGTTTATGACAAAACGACTATTTTGGACATCTTTTTCAGTGGGAGGGAGGCGATAAGTGCTTAGTGGCTTGGCAGGCTGGTGAGGGACCCGGACCACTCAAGACCCACCTAATTACTGAGATGATCTCTGGGTTCTCAGGACCGACGGTCCACTCAGGGCCCCACTAGGAGCTGAAAACCCTTCATATCCGCATGACCCTTTACATGCTCGTGGTCCTTCAGGTGCAGGGGACATATTCTCCCTGTCAAAGCCACCTTGGTACTTAAGTTACCTAAAAAAGCGCTTCAATCTTATACGTCACCCCGTTAAGCAGCCCCGCCAGCGTTAAAATGTGCCGAAAGGCCGGGGTACTGAATCGGCCCGCAAAATCCAAGCGCGGTCAGATGGAGCCTTTACTACGGGTCCCCCAGAAAAGCTTAATATCTAAGATGGACAATCAGATAACCTTTGAATAGCTTATATTTCATTTTAGTGTTTAAAACGGAGCTGCCGTTAGTCGCGTGTTAAGCGGAAACTTAACGCATCCTGCGCGGAAGGTATATTGAAGTGCGGCTTAAAACGGCAGCGCATGGCAATGTTAAGGTACAAATTTATGCGCGGCTTTAGTTGTGTGAAATTGAAAAAAACTAGGCAATGGTAAAGATAGTGACAGTCGCATGACTTCAATAACACTAGCAATTTCGCGCATTCGGTGGGTCCAAATCAACAAGCAAACTGTTGAGCTTCTGTACGCCAAGGGCAACAGAGACAGCTAAGATCGGCGATAGCTGGTTTGTGTCGTGTTGATGCAAACACATGTCATTTGATTGTTTAAACGGCAGGAAACCATTGAGCCTGAGCCCAGAATTTCTGGTGTCTTCGGTCCACCAAAACATGTAACATTCTTTTAAGGATGGGCTGCGGCCGCGAATGACTGTTTTCGTTTTGCTTCGTTTCTTTTTTTAGTTTTGCTTAGCCTGACAAGAATAGGAAACAATTGGGATACGTTTTCCTCAGATAATTAGTTCTGTGACCCCATCTTTCCGTGGCCACGATGCATTCTTCTTCCAGCATGCACCCACTACCTCTTGCTCAGCAGTTGCGCAGCGGCTTTCGCTTCAATCTCAGCCCAACCGGGAACCCAATATCCTGCTCTCTCCTTTCCGGGCAGGCTAGAAACCTCATTTAACCCTGCATATACCAATTGCTGCGGCGCATCAAACGACGCCGATCAGCCAACACATACCATGCCAGGCTTGGAGCATGTCTTCTAGGGTATATTGGAGAGTACGATGATGGCTGGGGTGGGGCTCGAGGCGTACACGTGATTTCCATGAGCGGACGTGGCCTAGAGGGGGTCAGCATGTATGACGTCATCCCCAGTGTTACCTGCCACCGGTTTGAACTTTGTCATGTGCTCAGCTGCCCTAGCTGTCGAAGTCTTTCGCTTTTTTCGCGGTCGAGGATGGCAAATCCAGCCGTAGATCAAGCTTAAACGTGGGGCCACGGCAAGTCCCGAGGGTGGAAAAAGACAGCGTTCGTGATTGAGCTACCCCATTATGTAGGGCCGGTGTGCCTGCATTCTTCGCAGCAACAGTTATCCTGGCATCATTTAAACAACATTGTATAAATGAACGTTTCGGTTGTGTGCATGATACTCCAAGTTGCGGTGATAAAGGAGGCGTTCGGTGATATGCCGATTCTGATTACGCTGCTGGGCATGGACGCCGCTGCCATTTCTTGCCATATGGTATTGCGTTACGCTGCTGGCGACATTTCTGTCCGCAGAAATTTGGTCGGCGACGAAAAATACACCCTACCCCCTCCGCTCTGGTTTCTCATATTTGCAGCTTAACCACTACACTGTTATTACCCAAGCCACACGTGCTCGGACGCATTGTTTAAAAATGTCTGAGGGATACTGCCACTACTTTTTTCATGAAAATTTGTAGTGCTTGTTTCTGAACGCTGTGTGTCAATGTCACCAGTGGTTGCAAAGTTACTAGCTTATATAAAGCGTGGTCGCCAGGTTAGGCGAGGCTAGGAAGGGACAGGATTTTAAAAGAAAATCCGACACACAAGGCCTTGTTGGGGAATTGGTGAGTTGGTTAAGAATATTCCCAAAACCAACTGATGAGATTCCCTACTAGCTCATCAGGATGTATGACATTTATCCGTTTCTGCTGCTTAGGTGTATGATACAGGCATATCTAATGACGATGAGCCTGTGCCATGCCACTCACCTCACCCCTGGTTACACCACTCCAAATAAGAAACAGACTAATCGGTCCGGCGGATCGTCCTGCCCGATCCCATCCACCGAATCGGGTGTAATTTACATTGGCAAATACTCTAAAGATCGCGATTTAGGTTGGCTTTGGTTTCACATTTTGATGATTTATGGTCTAAAACTAGGTGACGATAATGTCTGTAGGCTATCTGAACACTTAACGGCATTACATTGGCAGCGAGGTGAAGACTTTGCGTGTCCCCTCTCCTCACACCTTTTCACATGTTTTATGACTTTCGCATTAACAATGACCATCAAAAATCAGCTTCTCAAGCTGAAATATAAGTGATCTTGATAAAATTCTCGCGTTCTTTTATCAAGTGGTAATAAATTATGGGAATCCGGACTGTCACAGGAGAGAGATTCGAACAGAGATAAAGTATGCTGAAAGAAGTACAATCGTGGGGAGAAATTATGTTAGCTTACCTTCATTGGTATCATCACTTTATTATTCCTTCTTGCGTTAAAATGGACAGATTTTTGATCATTTAGTAAGGAACAATGTTATGTCATTAAAGCTGGGATTTGATTAAGCATACAGGTTTGACCATCTTGGTTTTAACAGGCATTGGCTTAGGGGGACCAGATTCGGATTGGATCAGGCTGGGAAAAATCATGAGTTTGGATCGGATGTGGACCATGCCTGACCGGATACGCATCAGATGGATCGAATATACCCCTTTGTACCCAAATGTACCTGTCTCGTACTCTGCAATAACGCCCACGAGGTCGCTGGCGGCGCTCTCAGTAGCTTGGTGAGGTCAGTGCGTGTGCGTATGCGTGTGCATGTGCGTGTGCGTGTGCGTGTGCGTATGCGTGCGTGCGTGCGTGCGTGCGTGCGCGCGTGTGTGCGTGCGTGTGTGTGTGTGTGTGTGTATTGGCCTGGTGATGCGGTGCACTTGCCGGCAGGAATTTTTTATGTAGGTGCTGACGCGCTGTCAGTTCGTGTTTCAGCGACATCACACACATCTGCAGACGTGAAGTTCAAGGCCGTGATCCAACGTCAACTTTGCAGACTGACATCACTTTCACGTCGGTCAACAAGCCGGCGACTGTTCGCCGACGGTGTGCGTGCCGGCAAATCCTGATCACGTGAGGCCGTCGGCGGGGAAACGGCAATAAACATCGACCACATGCTGCGGCCGAGCCAAGGAATTTGGCGGAAAAATTCTCTACTGTTCAAAAGATGCGGATAAACGTCTATTATATATTATAAGAATTCCGCAATGGAAGCAACCCATTCAAACAACACAATCAGAATATGCTCATGAGACATGTTGTGCGATAGCGAACATGTTGACATGCTGAGGCAAAATCATGGGCATCAGACCGGGCGACAGACGGACAAGTCTGGACGCCAAGAGCCCGTCCATCGACGACAGCTATGCTCTCGAACTTGTACCTTCACGAAGTCATTCCCAAACAGACAACAAGTTACTCATTATGAATGATACAAATGGAGATATCGGCTACGAAAGATAGTATTTTCGTTATATACAATTTGCACGGGCACCTCACGTCGCACTGAAGCGCCGCATATCGCAAGACCTTCTGGAGACGCTTGTAGCTTCTCGACACACGCATCGAAGGCGGTCAAGGTATCGCTGTCCAGCCAGCATGAGAATCACCAAGGAGAGAGGACGCCTCTGATCACATCACTCGCCGCGGGCTGGGCAGCCCGCACCAGCGGCGTCTCCACGAGCACCGCAGTCTGACCGGGCCAGCCTGCAGCTCCGGTTTTTCAGCTCATCGACCGCTCATCGCACCGCCTATTGGAACCAGTGCAAGTCTTTGGTGGCTGTCTCCGGCATGGAGGTTCCTTCCAGGCCTGAGGAAGAAGAGCGCAGTGAAATGCGGTGCCTCATTCCCCGGGCGCCTGGTCTCACTACTGTGTTCGTGTTATTTCAAGATGCTCTCGATTGAGTGAATTATTTTCAAGAAACAGCTGCATGCATCGTTATAATTACCAAAGTCGTTTAACAAGTACGTGAAGTAAAGTGAAGTAGCAAGTACAGTAAAATTAAGCCCCAATAGCATGAACAATATCCAGATAAGGGCGAGAATGGGGACGTGCTTTGGTGCGCTTTGCTATCCTTTTTTTGTGATTTTGTGTGAACTCCTTTTTTTGTGAATTGTGACCGTCCCCGCCACTTGGAGATGTCGAGTGCTAAAACCAGCCCGCCGCTCTGGATGGTCTTCAAGCTTGCGGGTTATGCGTTTATTGTAACTGTGAATCATTCATACTGCGCCGCTAGAATGCTATGATGAAACACCATGCGGTATGGCAAATAATAATAAATAATAATAGTAATAATAATAGTAATAATAATAGTAATAATAATAGTAATAATAATAGTAATAATAATAGTAATAATAATAGTAATAATAATAGTAATAATAATAGTGCATTTGACTCAGGTCACGCGTAGCATCAATGTGAAAACTTAACAATTATTTCGGATTGGGTGGAGAAGCTTTCAAAGGGCGACAAAAAGAACATGTTTTGTAAAAACGCTATTTCAGATACGAGTGTATGCGTAATCATGGACTCTCAAAACGTGTGCTAAGGCATCTGTAGATTGCAGTGCAGCTGGAATGCACCGTTGTGCACCTTCAGTGACGTGTGGATTAAGCCTTCAATATCATACGGAATGTCAGAGCGACAGATTAGGAGATAGTGCAGAACCTGCTGATATCTGGCTCACGACGGTCCCATGTTTTGCTGACCCACCTGATGAGTACATGTAGGAACTGTAGCTACTGGGGTCTAAACTGTGCCCCTGCTGCATTCCAAAGCGACCAGCCGTAGACTGAAAAGGAGACGGCTTGATCAGCCAGATATTGATCCCACCGCAATGGGGGGGGGGGGGGGAGGGATAGGGGGGGTCACATACGCTGCATCTATGGTCCTGGGGACTCTGTGCATGAAAGCGGTTCCTGCAGTGCGTAAAAATATGCTGCGACATACATAATTTGCGGGAGACACAGACACAGACACAGACAGCAAATGAACACACACGCATACAAATCAACACGTCTAGTTTGATCATTTTTACAAGCTTTCTATTTGAACGTTACAAAATACCGAAGAAGCTTTGATCTTTGGACTGTTCGGGACGTTGAATTTTCAGTCATCAGGTCACAAAGAGATAGGTCGAGGATCTTATAAAACTATGCATTTTGCAAAGTTGCCTGATTAAGTAAAATGGTGTGCCAGTGATAAACGATGTTCCAACAGCTGAAATGTCTGTTGGATGCTACACGGGGCTGACATAAGTCTAGGCAATATTCGTTCCACACATATGGTTAGATAAGGAAACGTAATCTAACTACTGGAAACAGCAAAGGAGATCACTTGGGCCCCCTGTAGCCGAAAGATGATACAAAATAAGGCCCGGCTAAACAAATGCACAATGGATGGAGCCCCAACCAAGCCCAAGTCGATTTTTTCAGTTCAGGCTCACAAATGCGCTGCCAAAAATGGGTCCTACGGCCGTTTTGGTTGGGGTATAGCGAGCGTCAGTGTAAGGGAGCCGCAGTAAAGCGCCACCGGTTCCCTTCGATAGCCATTACAGACAGCGGCCACCTGAGGTGCTGGATGCAGCAACCCGGGGATAATGAAGCGGTGTGGAGTGAACTGGTAGGACAATGTGGCATATCTGTTGCCACGAGTGCCTTGTATTTGTTGGCGGAGAGATAACGTATTTCGGACTTGCAACAGGGGTTGCAGTGGAGTATTCGCATCTAGAGGAAAGTATTTACTGTCAGGGTTAGTCCGCGTCATGGCATTCGTTATATCGACCAAGTCGTCAAGAAAACTCGACTAGCAACGTACATTTTTGGCATTCCGCAGCTTAAGTTGTCATTAAACGGATGTCCTCGACAAGGTCTGATTTTTCAAGGTTTCTGCAGCAGCGCAGGGGAAAAAGACAGGACCGACACAATTTCCCAGCATGGCATCGCGTGACAACGGAAAAGCTCCCGCCATGTGCCCGTATTAAGTCACGATTTCCCATGCATTTGCTGTTCTCTTTCAGGAAACACGAGAGTCCAATCAATACGGACCTACTGCGATCTGAAACGGTTGACAGTTGCTGAGCAGCAGACGCCGGCAACACCACAATGTCCTGGACCACATCTTCCACGAAAAAGGTCAGCTGTATGCTTATTACTGTTCTGAGGAGCACTCGGCCCACGACACTGAGGTCGGTCCCGTTGACACGCATTTGAACATCACTGGTACGACGACCTCTTCTGGACGAATGCTGCGCCCAGTCTCGCCCCTCGGCCGACACCCCTGGGACCTAGCCTACCAAGCTCGCAGCCGACCCCATCGCCGCCCTCACCTGCAGGAAGAGGCTGGGGTACTGGTTGTAGCGCGCCGAGCCGCCGGCGCCGTACGAGAAGTTGTGGCCGTACGCCTGCGTGGTGATCGGGTAGTACCAGTCGGGCGACTGGTGGAGCCCGGCCAGCGAGGCCGCGTGGTACGGGTCGGCGTACAGCTCGTGCGAGGTCAGTGTCGTCCGAGAGTGGTAGTTGCTGTTCCAGAACGAGGCCGGGAAGTTCCGCTGCGACATGGGCACCGGCGCTGCGGGGTAGACATCTGGGGTCATAGGCGGACCACGTCTAGGGTCCGGGGCCACAGGCGGAACACATCTGGGATCTGGGGTCACGGGCTGCAAACGTCTTGAGTCACGGAGGGGAGATGTCTTGAGCCGCAGACGACAGGCGCAGGGGTCACAAGCGGCAGATGTCTGAGGTCACAGGCGGCAGACGTCTGTGGTCTGGGGTCACTAGCGGCAAACGTCTGAGGTCGCAAGCGCCAGACGTCTGGGGTCACAGACGACATATGTCTGGGTCACAGGTGGCGGCGGACGCCCCACGACACGAAGCTGTCACGCAAGTTTGGGCACACGCTGCCAAACGAACGGAGTGTCCTTGCCTGGCGTAGCATGTGAACGCCGCACAGGCACGCTGCGAGGAAGCCGTGTCATGAGCAGGTGGCAGTGGTGGCATGCAGAGCGACGGGCTTTCTGGAGCACGTCACAGCTATTTTACGGAGCGATGCACAAACCTGTTCTCATATCTCCCGGAGCACAAAGGCATATGACACATTTGTGTCGCCGTGCTGTTTGCTGTGAAATCTATCCGAGACCGAGGCCGATGCTATCTGAGGCCATCTAATGTCCAGGACAAATTATGGAAGTATGCGTTTAGCCGGCGCGCGCGTCCAGCCCGTGGGAAGGCGGCCCCTTATC